GCCCCCCCCCCCCACACACACATACACGAATACGTCCCTGCCACGTGACGCTTTTGGTGTGTCTTTGTGGCTGACTTCGGTGCGGTATTTCCTGGTTGGCGGCATGAGTTTGGCGGCGTTGAGGAAGAATGCCTTTGCGAGGCACTGCTTGATGCTCACCCACTGCTCGTCCTTGCCCACCGCTGCCTGCGTGTGGGCCGCCATGTCCACGTCGCCCAGCAGCCGCACCAGCAGCCCCTGCAGCTGCTCCCGGATCTTGGTCGCACGCACCAGCGCATGGTGGTTGATGCCGTGCTCCTTGCAGAAACCCACCTTGTCACTCACCTTGACAAACACACAAGAAACACTGATGTGGTGGGGTGGATGGAGTGCTCATGTGAGGTGAGGAGGGTACCTCGTTCCATCGATGGTAGGCCTTGAGTAAGGTCAGGTGGTCGCCATCAGGATGGGCCAGCCGACGGAAGTTGGTCGACACACGCTTCCTACGCTCCTCTGATGAACACACAGACGCACAGACACAGACAGGCAGACAGACAGACAGACAGATTGGTGCTTCCTCGTTCTGTGCCTTCATCGTCGTACTGTCAGCTTTGCGTTCAGACGTCAGTGTGTGGTGCCACACATTCTCGGTCGACAAGAGCGCCACGATCGACAGCATCTACACACACACACACATCCAACGAATGCGTGTGTGGTGTGGGGGCTGGGCTGGGCTGGGCGGCATTAGCTCACTCACGTGTTCGAGGCATCCAAATTCCATCGAGTCGAGCAGCAGGCGGCCATGCATGGGGACCACTGGCAAACCACTCAGGCGGTGCCTTCATCAACACACACAAGGTACATGCAGGGAGAGGGACGCCCTATCTCTTGGTTGGCTGTGCGGATGGCTGCCCACCCCAGGTCAGTCAGGCCGCGATTGTCCAGCGCGCCAAGGCTGCACAGACAGACAGACAGGGAGAGTGGCAGTGGTCATGGTGTCCCTCAGTCTGTCCATGGATCTGTGTGGCTTGTCTCACTCTTGCAGCATCTTGACGGCCTTGTCGAGCGCCCCCTCTTTCGGCGCATCCAGGAAGGGAAACGACTCCTCATTGCTGATGCCATACGCCTGCAAACACACAAACACACACCACACACACGCAAAGGACAACATGACACACACAGAGACACACCTTCCCCTGTCCTCTCCTGTCCCTCCGCCCGACCCAGCTCACCCACCCGCATCTGCAGCACAATCTGCGCCAGGTCAGCACGGGTGATCTCGGGCGGCGTCTGGTCAGCTAGCCCCTGGGAGTCCGCCTCAGTGAACAGCCGGTAGGCCTGGCCAGGGGCCTCCCTCCCCGCCCGGCCCGACCGCTGCATCGCCGCCGCCTTAGAGACATCCTGCCGCAGTAGCATCTCTACACCTGTCCGGGGATTGAACGTCGTCAGCTTGACCTTCCCCGAGTCCACCACATAGCGGATGCCCGGCAGGGTGATAGAGGTCTCGGCGATGTTGGTGGCCAGCACCACTTTCCTCGTGTGTGGGGGTGTGGGGCGGAATGCCTCGACCTGCTGGTCGACGGGGAGTGCGGCGTAGATGGGGCAGATGAGCATGTCGAGTGAAGATGACTGCCATGAGGGGGGGAGGGGGTCGGAGGGGGAGGGGTGGCGGCGCAGACGGTCGAGCTTGACGCGCTTGTCTTCTAGCAGCTGCTGCAGCGCCTCAATGTCGTCCTGGCAGGCACAGAAACGAGATAGATATCTCCCACACATTGACTGACTGACTGACTGACCTGTCCTGGGAGGAAGACGAGGATATCTCCCGGAGGCTGCTCCACATGCAGCTGCATGACAGTGATCGACGCAGCCTACACCCAACACACACACGGACCTGAATGACCAGTCAGAGTCTGACTGCTGAGGCAGCGGACACTCACCTCGACGTAGTCTTCCTCTGCGGCTGGCGTGTGGAAGATCTCCACAGGATGCTGCCGCCCAGGGATCCTCACAATCCTCACGCACCCCACTCCGCCAGCCCCCCGCCCCCTCGCCCCCCCAAACAGCGGCACCACTCCAGCCGACCGAAAGAAGCCACCGTACTTGCTGGGGTCCAGTGTCGCCGACATCACTATCACACGCAGCTGCGGCCGCTTCCCTGCCACCAGCAATCGCTTCACGAGCCCAAACAGCATGTCGGTGGCCAGAGTCCGCTCGTGGGCCTCGTCCAGTATCAACACCGAGTAGCGTGAAAAGTCGCCATCTCGGACACAGTCGCGCAGCAGGAAGCCGTCGGTGGCGAAGCGGATTTTGGTGGCGGCTGACGTGACGTCCTCAAAGCGAACCGAGTAGCCCACGAGATCGCCCACTTGTGAGGACAGCTCTTGTGCGACGCGATGGGCGACGGTGATGGCGGCCACTCGCCGCGGCTGGGTGATGGCTATCACGCCTTTGGATGTGTAGCCGGCATGGTGCAGGTATATCGGAACCTGACGTCAGTCACGGAACAAGCAACACGCACGAAAGCATTTCACACGAGCCATGAAAGAGCGCCTCCCTGTGTCAGCTTCATTATCCGCACCTGTGTGGTTTTGCCGCTGCCGGTCTCGCCCATCAGGATGACCACCTGATTCTCCTCCACTGCCTTGAGGATCTCATCCCTCTTCTCAGCAATAGGCAGAGCATCGCCACTGTCAGTGGCAACGTCCGCAGCAGGCACAGCAGGCACGACAACCGCATGAGCTGCAGACGCCGACGCCGAAGCTGAGGCTGAGGGTGAAGATGCCTGCTGACTACCACCACCATCTCCTTTCTCCTCATTCATCACTCGCCGCCTCTTGTTCGGCGACTGTGAACGACGCAAACCGGTAGGATGCATCGTTATGTACAGATCCTGCCAGATCTGATTCCTGCGCATGCAAAAGCTCGCAAACAGAGGCACGTCTGGGGTTCGAACCCAGGACCTTCAGCTTACGAAGCAGACGCAACTACCACTGTGCTAACGCGCCCATGGCTATTCTGCGGACAGCTCTCGAGGTGGATTGCTTTCTTGAGAGGACAGCAGAGCATGACGGGATTCGACGAGTGTAAGGGCCGCATCTCACCGAGGCACGCATTAAACCACAGACACATATCATCCGCAAACTCGTCTTCTGTCTATGCATCGGGCACGGAGGACAGGAGCGCCGTAGCCGCAGAGGCGGCCTCACAGCAGCAAGCCGCCTTTACCGTCCTTGGTGAGATGGATCTCAGGAAGACTCGGCCAGAGTTCCGCCTGCGCCGACAGCCACGCGCCGAAAGGCAGGTGCCGTTTCATGTGGGATATGGATGGGGGTAGCAATCGCATCTGCAGGTATTTACTGGTTAGAGAGGCAGCCCCATGTCAACAGGTGTTGTATTTATGTACAGTCGAAGGTAGACCCGCAGGTAGACAATAGAAGGTAGTTCCGACTGGTCAAGTGATGCGCTGAACTGATATATTCATCTCTCTTCACTGAATCACACACTCCACAAGATCCGGGCTTTTCCATCCATCGACATTTGTGTAAGAATAGGTGGGAGAGAGTCGGGGAGAATGGTGAAGAGAGGATCTGCCGGGCGGTCAGTCCCGGATAAAGGATTAAGTCAATGCAACGTAAGGTCTGTGGTTTTTGTGGAGAGTCCACGTAGGACATGTAGTATGCGTCAGTCCATTCTGTCTGACGTCCTGTCCC